AAAAGACCCTGTTTCAAAAAACAATCAAAAAAGAAAGGGAAAAGGGCACTCAAAACATGAACTCCTATTTCTTATTAATTTTAAAAAACTATAGTTTTTAGAGGACACTGAGGAACCTCAGGAAAACTTCAGCAAAGTGGATTTGAAGATACGAAGAGGACCCAGAGCCTCTGATATGTCCAGTTGGCTGAATCTACTATTAAAAGTTCTTATTGTTTAAGGAGCTACCAAAAATGATGACGCTGTCTGTATGATGACTGACTGGTTTATATTTAGAAGGGCCCTTAAAGTTATGCTATAATGGCTTCTGTAGGTTTTTAGAGTCTCTAGTTATCTGTTAGGTATTGATGAAAAGCATGACCTGTTGGTTAAGGGAACAAAAGTGATCACTGATATTCTGTAAATTTTAAAAATGATTATTTTAGAGCTTCTTGCACTCTGAGAGATCATGTGGAGAGTCCAATCCCTTCTGTTTTAAAGATGAGGAAACTGAGGCCATGAATATGAAAGCCAAATGTCATTCATACAACTAGAATTAATCCCAAGTTGAAGACCGCAATGATGAAAAATAGAGAAATAAGTACTGCAGTCCGGGAGACTGCCTCCGAGTGAACCCCGACTCATGGGACTACCCAGGCCAATCCCCATCTCCCACCTCACCTGGTCCTCCAGCTTCCTGGGGCCCTACCTATATGTCCAACAGTGAAGACTGGAGTTTCAGGGTGTACATTAACCGTGTGATACACAAAACCTTAATCGCACAACAAAAACTCTGGAGTATCAAGTGGAAGAATGAAATTTCACTTCAAATTTTGACTGTTTGGCTGGAAAATGAAGGAGGAGCGGGACGGAAGAGGATCTGCAGAAAGATAAAGATTTCATATAAACCTCGTAAGAGCGCAGTCCAATATGAAAAGCCTACACTGAGGTTCTATAGCTGGAAGCTGCTGAGTAATATATAAGAGTTAGTTGCAACTTGGCTGTGATAGCTTAGTAGAATTTTTGAAAATTATTTTTATGTGAGACAAAAAAGCATGAATTCACACACTCTCTCTCTCTCTCTCTCTCTCTCTCTCTCTCTCTCTCTCTCTCTCTCTCTCTCTCTCTCTCTCTCTCTCTCTCTCTCTGTCTCTCTCTCTTTCTCTCTTTTTCAGGTAACCATGAGGGTCATTAGTTAAATTGTTAATTTGATAAAAAAGGATTTTAACCTTGAATAACCAACCATGGCTATCAGTGGTGCATGGTGTTTATTAAATCATCCACTCTTTCCTTCTTTTCTAGTACCTGGCCTTCCTTCTGAGGGGGTTGTGGGTTTCTTCTCAATAAGACTATGAGATAAGCCAGAAATAGAGATAAAAATTGAGGATGTCCACAAAGCCTTGGTGGACAGTGCTCTACCTAAGCCATGCACAGTTTGTGCCCTGCATGTGAACTTCAGTTAACCTCCCTGCAAGGGCTGCCTGCCTGCCCTGCCACCAAGATGTCTAATGATAGGAACCAAGGAGGAGACGTCGGTGCCAAAATCTGAGGGACCTACAGCAGGAAATATGCAGCTTTCCTTCCATCTTCTGTCTGAGGCTAAGGTGCAGAGTGGTAGCCTCTGAGTAAAGATGGTTGGCTGAGGCCTTGGGGATCAGCCAAGGAGCAGGTCAGTCACCAAAACAATGCAGAACTCAGTCACTGAAGACGTCCCAAGAAAAATGTTAAATCACAAGCAGTGCATATGGACACAGAAATGAGGACTCCATCTATTTTTTTTTTCTTAAATAGTTCATTCCTATCCAACTCCTCACCTATGAATATTTTCTGCTTCCATTTAAATCAGTACACCATGATCAAAAGATGCAGTTATCTTCTGGGTTATTCTATCATGGTACCTAGCAGACAGGCTTGTGTTGTAAGTGCCACATACATATTGAATCGATTTAATTCGCAGACATTCATTTCAAAAACATACTAAGCTGGGTTGAAACTGGCTATGTTTGATTGTGTTCCCCAGAAAGTGTGCCTTGGGAACTTACCACCCAAAACATTAGTGCTAGGAAGTGGGGCCAAATGGGAGGTGTTTAGCTCATGAAGGCCTCATTGTTGAGAATGCTTTAATGGCAATTATGAAAGGGCTTGAAGCCAAGAGTTCTCTTTTTAAAGTACTCTCTCACTCATTTCCCTTCTACCATGGCATAAGGCAACAAGAAGGCCCTCACCAGATGTGAGCCCCTTGAGCTTGGACTTCTTAGCCTCCATAACTGTAAAAAAAAAACTTTTTAATTTCTTTATAATTTACTAGGTGTGGTATTCAGTTATAGCAATACAAAACTGAGTAGGACAAATATCCACCACTGAGCAAACATTAGTGTCTTATCATTTCATTATGAATCTTGGGAGCATGTAAGAATTTACTCAGAATTCATAAGATTTCTGGTACAGAATGCCTTATGTGCTTGGATTTCCAAACGTTGAGACAAGATTAGGCAGTGGCTAAAATTACATTCTCACTGGCCTGGTAATGAAACAGAATGATCTGACACCAAAGCAAGTTCTTGATGAAGTTTAATGTTGGTTGTTTAGTTAAGTCTGTCTACCTAGCAGACCAGAGTACATAAATACAAATGGACGCACAGCTAGAGAAAGTGTAAGAGAATACAAAATAGGCTTTGGCTCTCTTTTTTTTCTTTCCTTAATTTTTATTTACTTGTTTTATGAAATTTTTAATTTTCAGATAAAGAAAAAGAAAAATGTTATGTCATCATTTAAGGCAATGACAGAAAGGAAGTAAATAATACATCAATTCTTAATTTTGATTTTATTTTTTATATTAAAATGAAGGGGTTTGAACCTGAAACTAACAGACAAAAAGAGACAACAGGAAAATGTAGTACAAGCCAGGTGAGGACACACATAAATCGTTCTTTTTATATAATCTTGTATATTCTAACCTAGCCAAATTATATCTCAGAACACTGACACAATTACATGTCTACAAATCAGGCAGAAATCCTTGAAAAATTAAAAAGAGTAGAGAATAAGGACAGACAGTATCACCTTGACTTTTTAAAAAGAAAGATAAGGTAGATCCTGTAAACATCAGACTAATAAAGTTGATATTAACCCACAAAGGAACCCTAAAGTGGTTTACTAAATATTCTGAGAATTTAGAAAAGAAAATGGCAAGCACCAACAACACACAGGTTCAGTACAAACAAGGCAGGACTATTTCATAATAGCTTAAAAAAAGACTGCATGTTCTCACTTCAAGGAAATAAATATTTGAGGTGATAGATATGCTAACTACTCTTATCTAATCATTAGATTTTATATACATGTATTGAAAGATCACCCTATACCCCTTTAAGTATATACAATTATTTTTTGTCAATTAAAAAATAAGATTAAAAAAAGACAGGCCACACTGATCTAATCTCTCTTAAGAGCAACAGCTAACATATAGATCAAGGACATGCAAATTTAGCATATATTGATTTCTTTAATTGAAAAAATCCTTCTATACATTCAGAAAATAAGCAGGCAAAAGGTAGACTACAATGTTGTAGTTCTACCAATGAATAGGTTGTATAGAACTAACCTCAGAAAGTATTTCCCAAGTGCCTCAAGATTCTGGATTTGGCCCTACCCTAATTAAATACCAATAGGACAGAGTCACAAATCAAATGATGCTAAAATAATATATACACATTATTTTACAAGAACACTTGCAATATACAGTAATATACTGTTGAGACAAGACCACCAGACTGAACCGGGAGAGATTTGCCTTAATATATGTCACAGGAACAGATCCAGAAGTAACATTCCTGGTTAATCCCACCAGAAGCTTCAGGTTATAGTCTCAGAAACCTGTTTAAAGACAGTTTTTAATTTTGCTGAAGGCTTGATAAATGTTTATCATCAATCTTAGAGAGCTTATTTGTCAAAAGAAAAATGAAATAATCAAAAGGGTGGAGGTTGAAGGAATGGGAACCAGGAAGAAAGGTAGGAAATTTAGTGTGAAAACTTGGTGTGAATATCTGGGGGAGAGAGGAGTGCCATCCACAAATAACTTGAAGAATTGTCCTTTGAATGAGAAATTAAGAAATCCAAAATGTCCAGGTGATTTTAGAAGACAAGGGTGAGACCCCTCTCCAGAACCCACAGGACTAAGACTTTGAGTCCATTAAGATATTTTTTTTTTCTGATCCTCACTGTCTAAAAACTAGAATGAGCTGCTATGTGTGGGGCTGAGTTCTTGGTCAGTGCATGGCTAGGTGGCTGAGTCAGACATGGTACATGCAAAAAAGATGTGCAAACTCTTAGAAGTGGGTTTAAGACACTTAATTTCCCTGCTATATAGTTTACTGTGTGGTTTATTGCCTTATATATAACATTCATGATCTAACGAGGAAGGCAATATATCCTTATGTTCAAAAGTTCAGCAATGGCCCAACCAGATTAACTAGAGAAACCATGAGCAAGTTAGCTAACCACCTTGGACCAGTTTCCCCTTTCACAAATTGAGGATGATAGGAGTATCTAACCCATGGATCTGCTGTGATGTTTGAGTTAATTGTACAAGAAGCACTTAAAAAAACTGTCTGGCACAAAGGAAATGGACTGTAAAGTTTAAAATTTACTGCTATTTCTCTGCAACCTTCTCCATATGCTAAAGAGTCCTTATTAGCAATTCTGAGCAGAAGATGATGATCACCTAAGCAGGTAGGAGGTTATCCCTAGGAGATGATAGGAGAGACTTTGGAGCCTTAGAATCACTGCAAACATGCAAAGAAATACTGTATGTAGCAAAGGAGAGCAGCTGGAGAATCTTCATCATTCGTAGATCCACATGAATTTAAAACCAAGCTACCATGGCAGATATTTCTTCCCCAAGGCACTGTGCTCTAAAAGGTTGAGGCAGGAAGATCACAAGTTTAAGCCCAACTTGCACAACTTAGAGACTTAGCAAGACACTGCCTCAAAAATTTTTAAAAAGGCTGAGGATGTAGCTCAGTACAAATTCCCTCAGTTGAATCTCCAGTATCAAAACAAAACAAAACAAAAAAACTGCTGCCCCATCATTTAGTTAGCAATGCCTGCAAGATAGAGCCTAGAATCTAGGGAGCAGTCGCCACTGAGGATGGCACTGGTTTCTTGGGCTCCTCTCCCAGATCCACAATCCGAATGATATTTTCCTTCTTGGAAAGCCAGAAAGCAGCATAAATTGGTTCTGAAAACTTACAGTCAAACTTGTGAACCAGAGTCATGGCTTCATACTCTACACCATAAAAGGAAAGGATCCCCCCTGGGAAATCAATGTAGATGCCAAGCCTCTGGAAAGGATCAGCTTTGAGTGGAGTCTCTGTGTCACTGTGCCAGGCTGTGTACTCCTTCCCATTCCAAAGGAGGCTCCAGGAGAAGTTGTTTCCTGAAATGCAACTGTTGCGTTCCTCTCCTTTCCGGTCGATGCCTTTGCAGGTCATGCCAACATAGGTGCCTGCACCAGAGATCTCTACCTCAAAATAGTACCTATGCAGGTACAGACTCTGTTGGGACAGCACTTGCCGCCAATGCACAAACCTACTTGGGAGGTCTGGATAAGGATGCTCCCAAGGTGTGGTGTTGGTGACTTTGCGGTTGTCTTCCTGCAGCCGGAGATACCTGTGTGCTGTGTCTGGGTCAAATGTGATGTCACATGCATCTGAGGAAGTATAGAAGACAGGGAGAATAGTTCAGGACCCAACAGCATATTCTGATAGGAAGCTTTATATCCAACTGGAATCCAAAGCTTGTGTGAGGAAACACCCATCTCCCCGTTCTGTTTGCCCAAACCACAGTTCTAGGAATAGAGGTGGGTGAAGACCAGAAAATGAGAACACAAGTCACTCTGCTTCCTTCCTGCATGACGCTCAGTTGGCATTGACTATATTATTACTGAGCAAAGTGAGTAAAAAATAAATTCATTTATTCATTCAACAAATATAAATAGAAAGTCAGGCCCTATTCTACCAAGTGCTGGTAAGAAATGAGATACAGATACTCATATGCCTACATCTAAACCATTCATTCATTTTTTGAAATAGTTGACTAGTATTTATTATGGTGAACCCACAAACATTCCCCTAAACATACTCTCTTCCCAGGCCCAGAAAGTAATAGCACCTTTATGCTCACCAATGAAGTTAAACTCAAAGTAATTTTTGACATTTCCTTTGTCCTCATCCTCACCCCCATCCCTCTCCACAAACACAGGCAGAAGAAAGTCCCGCAGATTCTACCAACTACTCTCCAGCCCCTGCTCCGGCTTCCATCTAAGCCATAACCAAATCTCACCGAAGCTGGCACAACAGGCTCCTTACTAGTTGCCCATAATAATAATAATTCAAAAAACACTATGAATATTATTATCAATAATAACATTCCACCCTCCTCCATTGTTGGTGGGAGTGCAGACTAGTGCAACCACTATGGAAATCAATATGGAGATACCTCAAAGAGCTTGGACTGGAGGTTCCATTTGACCCAGCCATCCCTCTGTTGGTTATCTTTCCAAGAGAACTGAAAGAATCATATCACAGAGAAGTATGTGCACCCATGTTTATAGCGGCACAGTTTGTAATAGCTAAATCTTGGAAACAACCTATTTGCCCATCCATTGGAAACTGGATAAAGAAGTTGTGGTTTTTCTATAAAATGGAATATTACTCAGCCATAAAGAGCGAGAGAATAGATTCATTCATAGGAAAATGGATACATATTGAAGATATACTCCTAAGTGAAATAAATAAGTCCCACATGTGTAAATACCAAATAGTTTCCCTGGTGTGAATATTCTGCAACAATGCATAAGATTCTAATAAGATTACTGACATTTAGAAATGGGAGGAAAGGAGCTAAAGGTGTAGGGAAGGTGTGATACGTAGGGGAAGAACAAAAAGGGAAAAGAAAAAAATGTGAGAGAATGAAAAGATGAAAATAAAGTGTTTGTAGATGGGGAGGGGAGGAGGGGGTGAAGGGAGGGCAAAGGTAAGGGGAAAAAATGAGAATCAAGACTTGCCATGTAAAGGTACATGATCCCAACAATGAATGTAACTGTACTGTATCCCTAAATGTACCAATAAACTCAATAAAAAAAAATAATAATAATAACATTCCAAAGGGAAAAGCTAATATGTATAAAAATACTTCTAATGCAAAAGAACATCAATTATAATAGGATACATTTACCTTAATGTTAAGCATAAAGGATATTTGGGTTCTTGTATGAATTATGTCTATCTATAAAATTTAAATAGGCTTTTTTTCAGGAAGCAGGAAAGAATAAAGGGAACTGAATGGAAGCCAAGAGGTTTTAGGAAAAAAACAGGAGCTGCAGCAAGAGTATTTACTAGCATCTGAGATCACAGACACATACGAGAGAGGGAGAGAGAGAGAGAGAGAGAGAGAGGAGGGAGAGGGAGAAAAGCCAGGCAGAGTGGCACACACCTGTAATTCCCAGCTACTTGGGTGTAGGAGAATCACAAGTTTGAGGCAACTTAGCAAGACCTTGCCTCAAAATAAAAAATAAAAAGGACTGGATATTGTAGCTCAGTGGTAGAGCACCATGAGTTGGATCCCCAGGACCCTCTGCTAGGAAAAAAAAAAAAAAAAAAAACTCATCTCATGGACTTGTTGATTATCACAAAGTACTTTTTTTTTTTTTTTTTTTTTTTTTTTTTGGTACTGGGGATTGAACTTGGGTCCTTGTACTTGCAAGGCAGGCACTGGAACCACTGAGCCAAAATCCCCAGCCCACACAAAGTACTTTCAAAATGTAATTTTAATTGACAAATAAAAATTGTATATATTTATGATGCACAACATGATGTCTTGAAATATGTATATATTCTGGAATTACTAAAGCTAATTAACACATATGTCACTCACATATACCATATGTATGTCTTTTTTGTGGTGAGAACATTTAATTAGCAACTTTCAAATATTTAATATATTGCTATTAACTATAGTGATAATGTGGTACAACAGATCTCTTGAACTTGTTCTATCATGAAATATTGATTAGAAATATAGTGGGGGAAGCTGGGTGTGGTGGCACACGCCTGTAATCCCAGCTCGGGAGGGG